GAAAAGAAACAGATGCTGGAGGCATTACAGAGAGGTCAACACCCAGGGTGTTGTTTCAAAAATCGCTGGAGGAGGGTGTTCTTCCGGATGAATGGAAAACTGCGGTAGTGGTGGCATTAAACAAAGGTGGTAGTAGATCTGTAGTTGCCATGATTGTACGAAGAAAAGGAACAATCCACAACGACGTTTTCCGTTCATATTTTCTTCAAAATCAACTCTAACTCGAACTGTGATATTTCTCTGTTTTACTTCTGTTTGTTTTACCCAGCACGGTTTTCCGCTCAGACATATATATAAGCTGGGTCCTGTTCAAACCCACGCAACACGTGTGACACGCTTTCGCTCTGCTACTTCATTTATTGCTTGCTTTGTTAAGCTTTCGCTCTGCTACTGCATTTATTGCTTGCATTGTTTAGCGTCACCTTGGCACGTTTCGGTACTATCTAGTACCACGATTCGCCAATAAACGTTTACGACTCCCACGAGTGTTTTTGTCTACCTCGAGCAGCGAGACACTTAGAGGTCGCGCGCATATTGAGACTCGTAAGAAGACTTACCGGCAGGGGGTCAACTCCGGTTAGCTTCATTGATGAGCCTGCATCGTCTACTCTGTAAGTCAATTCCAATTGGGTTTGCACTTTTTCCTCACGGTTCATTGTCATTTGCACGATATATTTCTTTATCGCATTTGTTCAATGTCAGAGGAACGTCCACCGGTAGACGATAGGGAGCTGGACCTGCTGGCTATTAGTTTTAAGCCAGTAGCTTTCATCCCTCATGACCCTGAAGTGTGGTTTGCGGCGTTAGAAACGCAGTTTATCGCCCGTAACGTGCGGAGCCAGCGCTCCAAATACGTTTACGCAGTAGAGGCGATCCCTGGCGACCGAATGTCCGCCATCAGGGATATTATTCTTAAACCACCGGAAAAAGATGCGTACGAAGTTCTGAAGGCTGCAATCCTTCAGTTCTATACCCCCTCTAACGAGGAGAGGTTGCGCCAGTTGCTGGCTCGTCACCCNTATTTCTTTATCGCATTTGTACAATGTCCGAGGAACGTCCACCGGTAGACGATAGGGAGCTGGACCTACTGGCTATTAGTTTAAAGCCAGTAGCCTTCATCCCCCATGACCCGGAAGTGTGATTTGCGGCTTTAGAAACGCAGTTTGTTGCCCTTAACGTGCGGAGCCAGCGCTCCAAATACGTTTACGCAGTAGAGGCGATCCCTGGCGACCGAATGTCCGCCATTAGGGATATTATCCTTAAACCAACGGAAAAAGATGCGTATGAAGTTCTGAAGGCTGCAGTCCTTCAGTTCTTTACCCCCACTAACGAGGAGAGGTTGCGCCAGTTGCTGGCTCGTGACCCGATCGGAGACATGATGCCATGCAGGCATCTGGCGCGTCTACGCTCGCTAGCCGGCCCAGCAAACGCCCACTCTGACAGTGTCAGAGAGCTGTGGCTCGAGTCGTTGCCACGTCACGTCCAACCGACGATAACGGCTCTGCTGGAAGATTCTTAAATCGACATAGCTGCGTCAATTGCAAATAAGATAGTTGCACGTGTCGGTAATGAGGATAATTTCCTCGTTGCTACGACATCGCAACCGTATAGGGGGAACAGGGATAAATATGCGATACGGCCTTCCCAGCCACGACCACATTGCATACACCAGCGTTTGTCTTTCAAGTACAGAGTCCCGGTGCCCACAGCGAACCCCTATAAGGCTAAGCTTAGTTTGGAACAGGCAGCACAGCCTGCCCACGTTCGCCAAAAGCAACCAAAGGCTCAGAAGCCACCCGCGCGCAAACCACCCAAAGCCCCGCATGACCCAACCGAGCGT